ATTGCTCAAACCAAATTCTGACTATAATTATGCACTTCTGGTCTTGTGTGTAGGGGAAACTCTACAAGACGAGAGGGTCAATGGAGGAGCATTTGTTGGAAGTGATGGTCTTCAGTTTCCACACAAGCTGATACCTGTAAGTTTGGTCATACCTTGCTATGCATTCCTCTTTGACTTGAAGTACTTGACGCCCTTGCTTTTCTGTTTTGTGGAAGTGTTGATACATGCTGAATGCTCAAGGCTGTTATTCCAAACTTGCATCTTCTACATAAACTAGATCAAACATTTTAAGATTGCCAAGCTTTATGTCTAAACCTGCATTTAAACTGAAATTTTTGTCAATTACATGTAGATATATTACGTCACACAGCTTTATTCCTTTTCACAGTAAACGTTTCCTTCACCTTTCTTCTGGCTTGTCATTCAGATGAATTAAATTATTATCCAGCACATTTTGATTCTAGTCTAGGGGGAACCCCTCCATTAAGCTCATCAGCAAGTATCTCTGTTTGCATAGAATGCTGGAATGCGTCTTTATGGAGGTGCTCAGTATCATCGTGCAATGGCTGAATTTCGTTTTGTTGTTGGTGGAACCAAATGTCCTCCAATTACACGTGAAGAAATTGTAAATGCATGTGGAGTTGAAGACATTCATGATGGGACAAACTACTCTAGGTACCCATCAATTCTGAGTTAGACTTGGATTTCTGATTCTACTTTGTCTTCAGTGTTGCTTTCATGTATCCTGTTGAAGTTTAGTTGTTCTTCTCTCCCTTTCACAATTTAGGACAGCTTGTGTCATTGCTGTTGCAAAAGCTCGTGATACATTTGAGCCTTTTCTTCATCAGGTGATTTGAGTACCTTTCTTTTCTTGTCTTCTTTTCTTGTCTTAACTATGTTTTAAGGAAAATTGATCTGGTCATGATTCTGTTCTTGCTAAACAAATATTTTGAGAATTGGAACACGTTTGTGTTAGTTAAATAGATTGAGGTAAAAGATGGTGTTAAATGAGGAGAACTTCTGAAAATCCACAAATATTGGACGCCTAGTCCTAATGTATATAAGCATATGATGCTATTGGGCAGATTAGTGAATGTGAGACTATGAGGACATAAAGAATTAATTGATCATGTTGGTTGATTTCACAATGCAAAATCTGTTAAAAGACAGGGATGGAGAGAAGGGGGTGAGTAAGGATGGAGAGAAGGGGGACAGACCCAAGTGCTTAAAGTTATCCTCCATTGATATTTCCTACAATGTTAAATATGACAAATTTCAGTAAAAAGTTGTTTTCATGTGGATTTTCTGTTCATTTTCTTCTACTTTCTTTTTTATTCTAAATATGTTTTGTCAAACTAAGTGTTTTTTTCCACTTATAGTTGGGAAACAGACTGTTGCACATTCTGAAGAGATTGCTTCCCATCTCTGTTCATCTTCTTCAGGTGAGGTATAGTCTTTAGTAATTTGGTTACATCCATTTTCTTTATGATCAATTCCTCCTCTGATGGGTATAATTATACTCTGAATGTTTTTAACAGAAAGATGGTGAATATCTAAGTGGCCATGAAGTATTTCTCAGACGGGTTGCCTCTGCCTTCAACAACTTTGCAGAATCCACTGAAAGATCATGCCGTGAAAAGTAATGTCGTTTGTTTCAACTCCTCTTTGTCAAGTTCTTTGGTTTATTGTTTCTAAAGCAAAATTGCTTCTTTGTTCTTCTCTTTCATGCCATATGACGTGGTGTTTTTGGCTCCAGTTATGTGGAGCCCTGTTGTTCTAAATAAGGTATCTCATAGATTAATAAAAATATCTTGTATACGGTTTCTGATAGAATTGTCAGCCCTGCTAAGTGAAACTTATGACTACTTGTGCTCAACATAGCCTTTTTGGACACTATGCCGAGAATTTTGGACTGCATATATTCAATACCTTGTATTTGTCATACTTGCAGGCTTCCAATCCAACTTGTTTTCTCTTGAATTGAACAGACAATAAAGTTTTGCACTTCCTTTTGAAATAGATCTTGAATTCTGAAGTCACAGTGGAAAATTGATGACCTTTTTTTAGCCTATTAAGTAGCTTCTGCATTCTCTTTAACTGCACCTCTTGTTCTTTTAGCTCTTAAAATCTTCATCAATTTTATAAATACTTACTTTGCCATATTAATTTGTCATTTTTTTCATATTAAAACCTTCTGAATAATTGTTGCTCAGAATTTCTAGAACTTCACTTTTGGTAAAACTATTCATAGAATTTTGCCTCTCTCTCTCTCTCTCTCTCTCTCTCTCTCTCTTTCTCTCTCTCTCTTTTATTTTTATAAAAAATTATTTTACTGCATGTTCCTGCTTACATTCTTGTTTATTAGGGGGTTTGAAATACGTGAGCTGTTCAAATGATTCTGTTGGTCCTTAAATATTTTCAGATGCATGGAGGACTTAGTCAGCACTACTCGCTACGTAACGTGGTCCCTCCACAATAAGGTTTGACATTTTACCTAATAGAGCTACTAATTCTTTTTCCTTTAGAATTTCAAACAAGTCTCTCTGCACCCTTTTAGCCGAATGCAGTATCAGTTAAAATTTTAGTCTCTTCCAGTAAGTGATTATTCATTTGCAAAGTCTGCTGACAGTGAACTAATTGTCTCAGTGAACAGTGTCTTTATCCCATGAATTTGAAGAACTGAATTGAATCAACATTTGTAATGTCTTCGTGGGCTATAGTTAGACATGAGTTCTTTAGCTCCTTGTTATTTTGGGTTGGATTTCTGATGGAGGGGGCTTGGGATATGTTTTATGTTTTGCTTGTATGCCATTTTGCTGAGAAACATGGTCAAATGAAATTTTTTTCTTTGGTTTTGGTCTTTGAAAATCGTACTTGTCTTATGTAACTCTGTCTGCTGTTTTTGTACATGAAAGAAAAAAATGATCAAGAGAAACTTCATTATTTGATTTTGGTCTTTAGAAATCACAGTGTAATTATTGCTTTTACAAAGATTATACTTAAAATTTTAAAGATTTTTCGGGAAGAGGATGAATGCTTCGAAATGTTTTCCTTTGGTTGTTGAACCTTTATATCATGCTGAGCTAAAACATTTACTGTATATCTAGAATAGATTGTGGAGTGACATATTTGATTTGGTATGATGTAAATAGTGTTGTTTTCATGAAATATAAGACAATCAAAAGCTGTGAGGCTGTACCTCACAATGAGAACTTTGTTCATCTTGGTGGCAACATCGTTCAAACTTTATCAGCTTAGATGGATATATTCAAAGCATGCGACTAAACAGAGATCTGTAATCTGATACTCCCTCCTTGCAGAGGCTATATGAACAATATATCCATTACTTTCTGTATGTTTCTTTTCTTTATGCCTGTCCTACATTATGCTTCCAGAATCGTGCTGGACTACGTCAGTTCTTAGACTCATTTGGTGGATCAGAACAGTCTGCCACGGGTGGTAACTCAGTAGCTGCCAGTCTTTCCCAAGAATTATCATCTCTGTCTATGGCCAGTGATAAGCAGGACAGTAAGCCAAGGCCAGACGTGAAGCTCGGTCATTTGGCTTCAGGGAATGATTCAAGTGGGACTGTTCAGGCAACAGAGACAAGATTGGCTGACCTTTTGGATAGCACACTTTGGAACAGGAGGCTTGCTCCTTCTTCCGAAAGGATTGTCTATGCATTGGTTCAACAGATTTTCCATGGGATAAGAGAGTACTTTTTGGCATCTGTTGAGCTGAAGGTTTGCTCTTACATTAGTTATTCTCTTCATTGCACACTGGAGACAGAGAGAGAGGAGAGTCTTGTTTATTGATACTGATTATGTTTGTCTTTTTGATATTCTTCAGCATTTGTTCTGTTGCTTCCTGCTTCCTTGAATTTCTTCTTTCACTTTCTTTTCGCGCTGAAAATTTTTTTAGTCATTTCAGTTGAGCGTTTTCTGATATTCTCTCAGAATATTGTTGGAGATTTTCCCTATCATCGGCTCTGGCTTCTTTTCTGCAGTTTAACTGTTTCCTCCTCATGCCGGTTGTGGACAAATTGCCCGCACTCCTTCGGGAAGACCTAGAATCTGCTTTCCAAGATGATCTGGTTAATGTTTTCGACATCACCAATCTGCGCCATTCTCTGGGACAGCAGAAGCGTGAAGTAGAAATTGGGCTTAGACGGGTATATATACATATGCATTGCCTTCATTGCTTCGTCTCTCTTGATTGTGCCATCTCTTGTTTTCTCAAAAACCATATAATGATTTGCAGATAAAACGACTTAAAGAGAAGTTCAGGCAGATTCATGAGCAACTAATTTCACATGAAGTCATGTGCTAGTCATAACCGGTTAGATATGTAAAGTTGAGTTTTCTTTTCATGCCATTTCCAGCAATGTATGATATCTTTTTAATAAAATTTTTTCCCTTTCTTTCAGACCAGTTTGAAGGTGGGATGATCAAGTGCCGGTGCTATTTGAGTTTGTTGCATGACCACAAACGTGTGTGCCAGTTGTATCGATGCATTAGAGACTTGATCAACCTGAAAATCTCATCCAAGCTTTAGATTTTGTGATTTTTTTTTTTTTTGCTTGCACGTTTTCTTCTCTGCTTTTGGATAAATATCTCAGAAGTTATTCAATTTCTCATCCTTTTTCAAAAAGGGAAGAAAAAAAAAAACTTTGAATCAAATAATACTCTTTATTCTTCAGCCACCAAAAAAAGAAAAAAAAAATCCAAAAACAAAAGAGCTATCAGCTATGGCAAGTTGGCAACTAAAACCGAACTCCCTTTGGGATGGCAGTTTGATATTTGAGGCGACCAGCGAGACCCAAGACTGAAAGATCAAAATCTGATGGCAAAAAATGCACCATTAAGAAAAGCGTATTGTTAATTAGGAAGTGGACATTGCTTGCAACATTATTATAAACACACTTTATTTATTTTATATTTTTAATTATTTTTTGATATTACATACATCACATTTACATTTTCAGTAGTATTTTAAATAAATTTTTCAAATAATCTCCTATTCAAACATGCTCTTACCGCACAAGGGAAAAGGTTGGATGGTAAGACCCGTCTAACTTCATCTTCTGTTTTTTAATTACTTTTTTACAGTCCAAGAACCTACAGATTTGGCCTTGCCCGATTGGTTTACTTAGCTTGGGACAGCTGAAACGCAAGAGCCAACAGCATTGTCTTCTTCATCCTGGCCCATCGAACCTTGTGGTAAACTCCTGATCCCAAATAAACCAGATTATTGCATACATGGTCAGGGATGTTGTCCAAGAACTGCTGCTGTCTTACAACTTTCCCATCTTTGATTTGGAAGGCAAGGCAACGATGAGAAATTGTAGGGAGGCGCATAGCGCATCAGTGTATCATCATCACATAGAACGGCGCGTTTGACAACTGGGAGGGGGGAGAGGGTTTCAAACTATCAGGAATGACTTCATTGTCTTTCCACGGAGCGCTGAAACCGTCAAATAACTTTCAGGCTCCCATTTTGATCCCTCTGTTGCACAGTCATACTCAAAAGAAGCCTCTGTGGTTGATGCGCAAAGCTTTTCCCCAACAACAACAGAAGCCAACTGGTGAAGAACTTGATCCATGGATCAAGGATCTCAGAGGAGACCACTGTTTGGTACGAGGATCATACCGCTCAAAGCTTGCATCAGGCACATGATTGGAGTGGGGGGGGGGGTGGGGGGCAGCAAGAACGTACAAAATGCCTTTCAATCACTACAGCAAGGGGACAAGACTTGCCAGAAATCATTTCCTTTTGAGGTGAAAGAAAGACCAACTGAAGCTGGAGCAAACAAAGAGATGCTTTTTGGGAATCCAGCGAAGGTGCTGCTTAGCAGTGCTCCTCTTGAGCATGGGCGGAAACTGCTCGTCGTAGTGGGCAGGGGAGGCGATTTGCTCCGTGGGATGTGCATGTAGAGAACTAATTATTCTGTCTGACATTGTCATTTTTTTTTTTTGAATGTTTTAATGGCAAAAAATATATATGATGCTACGTTGACTGCTAGGAATCATTAAAGGGACCCGGATGCTGCTAAAAACTTGCTAGAAGCTCAATGAATGTATCGAATAAAAGGCAATTAGGTTGGAAAAAGAAAAAGGATCTGTAGCAGTACCATTCTTTGCTATTTACATATATTTATTGAGGCGAGGCGCGTAATGCCCACGTGGCAATGTGACCGAAGAGAATGCCACCGCGGATTTGAAGCCAACTCGAAAGGTCATATGGATAAGGCTCATGCCCCGTAAATCAATTGTCCAAGAAAAGTAGCAGCAGCCCAATCATCAACGACGATGACGCTGCCCGTTTCCCCGTTCGCCATCATCAGCCCCTTTCCAGCACCAGCTTTGACTACCTCCAACACAAACCTCTCTCATTCCTGTCATCCTTTCTATCACCGTTTCAAGCCCATCAATGCCTCCTCGCAAATCTCCCTCCACTCCCCTTTGTGCAGTCAAAGCCCCTCCACCTCCTCCTCTTCTTCCCTCCCTACAAAAACCGGCGTCATTGTGATCGGAGCTGGCCTCGCCGGCTTAGCCGCTGCCACTCGCCTCCAAGCCGACAATATCCCCTTCCTCCTCCTCGAAGCTTCTGACGCTGTTGGTGGCCGCGTCCGTTCCGACCTCGTCGACGGCTTCATTCTGGACCGCGGCTTCCAAATCTTCATCACCGCTTACCCCGAAGCTCAAAAGCTCCTCGATTATTCACCTCTTAACCTCCAGAAGTTCTATGCCGGAGCTCAGGTCTACTACGACGGTCGCTTCCACATCGTAGCTGACCCCATCCGTCACTTCTCCGATGCTCTGTCGTCCCTCGCGAACCCCATTGGTACGATTGCAGATAAACTCCTCATCGCTTTGACCAGAGTCAGGGTTTTGACTCAACCCGACGATGAAATTCTGAGCGCTCCTGAGGTTTCGACCGTTGATTTTTTGAGGGAAATCGGATTTTCGGATTCAATTCTGGATAGATTTTTCCGGCCCTTTTTTGGAGGCATTTTCTTCGACACCGAGCTCAAAACGACGTCGCGGCTATTCGATTTCATCTTCAAATGTCTAGCTCTCGGCGAAAACACGATTCCCGCCTGTGGCATTTCCGCCATTCCAGAGCAATTGGCTGCCAAATTGCCGTCAAATTCGGTCTTTTTCAACTCAAGAGCAAGTTCTATTAGCGTTATCCAGGCGGATTCCGACGACTTCACCGTGAGGTTAGAGAATGGGGAGGAGGTGAAGTGCGAGCTGGGAGTAATAGTGGCGGTCGAAGAATTCGAAGCGGTTAAGATTTTGGCGGGAAACTTGGACGCTCCGGTTCAGGTGAAAATTCCGATTCGGAGCACTGTTTGTTTGTATTTCTCGGCGGATCAGGATAAGGTGCCGGTTAAGGATCCGGTTTTGTTTCTTAACGGGTCAGGAAAAGGGGTTGTGAATAATATGTTTTTTGCCACCAATGTGGCTCCATCTTATGGACCTCCGGGAAAGGGGTTGGTTTCAGTGTCTTTAATTGGGTCGTTTGATAACGTGGGCGAGGAGGAGTTGGTGGAGGGCGTTGTTAAGGAACTCTCGGGTTGGTTTGGGGAGGGTCTTGTAGGGTCGTGGAAGTATTTGAGGATGTATAGGGTGGGGTATGCCCAACCGAATCAATGCCCGCCCACAGATTTAAAGAAGAATCCGAGGGTTAAATCCGGTTTGTATATATGCGGTGATTATGTGGCTAGTGCTACATTTGATGGCGCTTTGGCGTCTGGAAGGAGAGCTGCCGAAGCCTTGATAAGGGAGAGGACACTGAGTAAAGTTTAAGGTTTATAAATTTCTTGTAAATTGGCTTTGATGTCTATTTTTGCAGGTACTTTGAAAGTAATTTTGTACTAACTTGGAAATTGTAAGAGAATCTGTAAAATCCACGCGTACATTTTTTGATCCTAATTGTTTGTGATTTATGAATTGATTAGCACGCTCTTTACAATCTGTTTCAGTATGACTTTACCATAGCTAGCATGCAGTTCATTTACAGAAATTGTGGCAGCATTATGATAGCATGCAAACCGCGGAACTGATGCGTGTACTTTGGTTGAATATTTTCTCATATCAAGTACCTCGGCACATTCATAACATTGAATGTGAATTTTTTTTTTTTTTTTGATTGTGCTATTCTTCGAATCATCAGTGCTGGCTGCTTCATTGCAGTTCAACTCTTTGCACCTGTTGGTCATGCTGGAATCTGCATTATAAAGGTGATGTGGATAATGTTTTGGCATTAATAATTTCTAGCGCTCACTGACAGCTGAACCATGAAAGTGGAATTTCAGTTTGGACTTTTAAAGATAACTATTATCTTCACTCCCGTGCAGTTCTTACTTGTATTGTTTGTGTTCCCCCGAAAAGTGTCCCTGAGTTGCAGATAGAAAGCCTTGCAGAGAAATCACATCCCTCAGCAGCTCAATTCACTTTGGATCATCAAAATGCCACTACTATCTTCGGCTTGTCTGTAAGGTATTTCCTTTCTCATTCCAACTCCAGCAAAAAGCAAAACTATGTAAGATTATCAATCCTTTATTGTCCTCTGCAAGTTCGGTTCATTTCTTCACGAGCACGACTGGAAGTATGGGCATTGGTATCAATCTGTCTTGTGATTATTGGTTTTGAAAAACCCCATACTTAAGTCATTGATAAATTATTTTCCTCAGACTATTGAATAAAATACAGCAGCATTGAGCTATTCTTTCAATTTTAAAAAGTTAATGCAACATGGACAGCTGATACTTGATTGCAGAACACAATGGATGCCCTTCCAAGTGTTCAACAGGTTAGAAAGTGATTCTTATAGCCTGCTTAGAAGCAATTGTCTTGTCTAAGCTTGAGAAACTAGTACTCCTGGATGAAGTTACTGCTCCACATGAAGGATATAAGTCATCCAGGCAAATGTCAGGATAGTCTATTCGTGTGATGACCCCGGAAGCTTCATGCTGGAAATCAGGAGGAAACGGAGGAAGGCTGGATCACCTAATAGAACTTCCACCACCCTTCTCATAGTAGGTCTGCACTCAGGCTGAGGATGAGTGCATATTAGGCCAAGAGTAAGCACTGGTTCAACTTCGTAAGGGTTATACTGGTTGAGTGAGGGATTGACTGCTTGAACCACTGCTCCTCATGAGTGTGACTCCTTAACCCAGTCCACTGTTACCAATTCTTTGTGGCTGTATTGGTCTCCTTCGACAAGTTATCTCTAGCATGAGTGCTCCATAACCATACACATCGCTGCTGCTTGTAGCTTTTCCAGTCCTGGTGATTTCAGGGGCCAGGTATCCAAGTGTTCCGACTACGTGTGTAGTCTGTGGATGAATCCCATGGCTGTAAGTTCTGGCCGGGCCAAAATCTCCAAGCTTCGCATTAAGATTTGCATCTATGAGAACATTGCTGGGTTTAACATCTCTGTGAAGTACCATCTGATTGCATTCTTCATGGAGATATAGTAATGCCTCGGCAACACCAAGAAGGATCTTGTATCCTTGTACCCAAGTCAGTTGCTTAATATTTTGGTGAGTATCGTCAAACAAAATCTTGTCAAGACTTCCATTTGGTACATAGTCATAGACAAGTAGTTCATCATGTTTCCTGCACCAGCGATGCAATTGTACTAGGTTTTGATGCCTGAGTCTCCCCATGCTTGCTATTTCTGCTGCTAATTCTCTCATTCCTTGACGTGAATCGGGGCAACCTTCTTTATTGTCACTTCCAGCCCTGTACTAGGGACTACTCCCTTGCATGCCTTCCCGAAACCTCTTGTCCCTATGACATTCTTCTCTCTAAAGCCCCTAGTGGCGGCATACAGCTCACAGTATTTGAATCTGCAAGCTCCACAATTTCCCAGTCTTCTAAAATCCCATCCCTGTTTCTAACATGATTTATGACATGAAGAGCTCCTGAAACAATTAGGAAAACTAAAGTCAAGCTGGCTAAGGTAATACCGATGAGAAATCCCTTCGTGTGCACTGCCTTCATTTTTATAGGTTTGACAAGAAATCGGAGCTCAGAAGGATCTAAATCCTGCGCCTTCCCTCCTATCTTGAGGCTCCATCCAAGCATACTATGAGCGGCTGAAAGTTGTCCAGTGGAAGCAGAGAAGCCAGCATACATGTAGTCATCTAAGAAAGATGAAAGGTCAATAGGAAAAGATATGAGAGGCCGAGATGTCCTTCTCGATGCTAGAGGAGATACAGTAATATTAATGAGCATCTCCTAGTTGTCATAATCAATCCATGCCCAAATACCATTTCCGCGATGGAGAATTATTGACTGGTTTTCTTTGCCAGTGTCATCTATATAATAAGCAGCTGCTATACACACACACACACACACACACATACTATTAATAGTTCACGTGCTTTGCACGTGATTGTAATAGCTTAAAATATATTATTCTTTAGATACTAAAAATTTTTTATGAAAATTTGATCATCAACATCATAACATAGTATTCTTAAGTTATTTATTATTTTAAGCTCGTTACTTTTAAAAATTTTATTAAATGAAAAGCGACAGAAAACATTCCAATGTAATTGACATGTCATTTAGGATTGAATTTGGAATCATGTACCAAACACTTTTTGATTTATAGTTTGAACTCTAGTATATCAAATATTGATAACATATTATGTTTTACCAAAATTATTGTGTATTCATGATTCTATTGCATATAAACCACAATCATTGCAATTTTTTATAAATAAACGAAGAATATAATTAAGTTAGAAAAATAAATAAACATACATGTAATTTGAATACCTTGTATTATATTAAGTCTATTTTTGTCAATAATAGAGTGTAAATGATCCTCGATGTAAAGTTTTTTTGGCTTGTACATTCTGACAATTGAAAGTTTATAGATAGAGATAGTTGGAGTTTTTCTATTTTTCTTTTCTTTTGTTCATATTTTTAGCACAATCCAATGCGAAACAAAAGCAATAAGTCTACGTTTTTCATATGAGCACAATATTTTGGTTTTAGTATTAGTTGTTTTTGATGATCATGGAATTGGAATGAGAATTGTGGCTAATTAACAATTTTAATATTAATTTTTTGTATATTGCAGTGTTTTATTTTTAATTGCCAATTTTTAATCCATAACCACTGTCATTATTATCAATTATTGGAATGCACTAAATATGTCTAATTACAATAGTCACCATAAATAAAATTTACTTAATTTTAAAGTTTTTCATTTAATAACCGTTTCCCTTATTAGCTAATATTGCAATACAATAAATATATGTAATCATTAGAAAAAAATAAGGATATTTGGGCATCACTAAAAACAATTTGGATATCATTTTCATTTTATCATTCTTCATTTTAAATTTACTCTTATTATAATTCTTATTTTATCATACGATATGGCTTCTACCTTGAAGGATGGACTTGGTTTGCTCAAACCAATACGTATGAAATATTACTATATTATTGTCAATAACAATGTTTGTCTTCCCTTGGATATAAGTGATTTGGATGTTGTCTTTGGTATTATTTGAATTGTATTCTAACTTTTTAATTCATATACTATTTACTTTATGTCATTTTATGAATAGTTTTCAATTTTTTTTTCAGTTTTTCTTGTTTTGATTAGTTGCTATTAATGATAATAGTGGTTTGTATGGTGTTATTTCAGATTTCTTTTTTTTTCCAATTTAATACTATTATTTCAGTTATAAATGGGTTATCATTTTTTGTATATTGAAATTCCATTGGGTGCAATATGAAAAATTCTTTATATGGGCAAAAAGTGCATAATTGTAAAATTTGCTTGTGATATTTGTATGAAGATATACAGATGAATTAGTGTTCTCTTCTCCTTGTATGTTTCTCTATTTTCTGGAGAGTATTTGTATTTTGACATTGATTTTTTTTTATATATATATAATCTTAACCAATGACTAATGAGAAATTTTTCATACTTCAATTAAGAAATTTTGATACGTATAATAATTGGAGATGGAGTTCAAGGGTAGGTAAATAGTTTTTAATGAGCAATTTTTAATTATAATTATGAATACTATTAAGATGTAATCAATTGGAGTGTTTTATTTCTTTTAACTAGTGCCACATTAAAATGCAATAATTTTAATTAAAAGACATGAGGGTAATTTAGGAATAACAAAAATTAAGATAAAAAAAGTGCTTACACTTACATTCCCTAATACCAAGATTCATATTTTTTATATTGTAATGATGATAATGATAATGATATGTGTGTGTGTGTATATATATATATATAAAATTATCAATATATTATCAATACATATATATAAAATTATCAAAATTATCTTTATTTATAATATAAAGATAATAATATAAAGATAAATATATATATATATATATATATATATATATTGTCTAATCCTACATTCCTACATGATTGTCATTGATGTCCAGGAGTTCAGGATTCTGAACAGTATCAAACTCAACTGCTAGAAAACCTGTGTTAAATTTTGCAATGCTAGTGTTATCTGGAAGCCCAAGGAACTGGTTTGGAAGACAACCTCTTGGTTTTTTGTGGGCATAAGAACAAAGGCAAAGCCATGAGTTCCAAGATTTGGATGTCTCGGGGTGATGGCGAGCACAAAAGTTGCGCTGAAATTAATGGGAGAAGATTTGTCACTACTCTTCTGTTTGCTTTCTTTTAACTGCAAAGGATCTGAATAGAATGCATGTCCAATTAACCTGGACGAGTCATTAGTTATGGTGAGCATGCCATCAGATGTCACATATGCAGCTCCATGACTCCATCCAAGCTGATGTTTGCTTGGAGAAACCCATTGTATGTGAAACTGCTTTCTGAACCTACAAATTCTAGAAGGAAAAGGTGCACGAGTCTCGAAATGAAATTCGGCTTAGAGTTGCCTTGGCTCACAGGATTTTGAGGTACAAAAAGTAGGATGCAATATGAGGCACTGTTCAACAGTTCTGAGCTAATGGAAACTGCATGCTCTACATATATTTCATGCAGGAATAGAAATTCCTGCCAGAGTTCCAAATATCTTGGAATCCGGGACAATTTGCCCTGAGTGGAAAATAAAAAAGGCAACCTGGAGCCAGGTCTTGGGCCTTGTTCCTCCTGTTATGGAGTTAATATTGCTTTCTAGCAAATCTGTAATTTAGTGATTCTAGTTTTGTTGCTAGACTGCGGTATATGTAGTAAAACCTGATCACCATTATTTCTTGTTTCCACCTGTTTGACCCAAATAATTGTATCTAAGATATTAAAGCTGTTTTGCCCCTAGCTGTTTCTCTGCGCACATGGTATTGCCCATGTTTGGACTGTTGTGATTGCTTGATAGGAAAGTTCTACTCCTACTCAATGTTTGTGCCATTTAGATGGGGAAAAGAGTAAATCCATTGAATTTGTATTAGGCGACAGAGTTGTTGGAGGTGACAGAGCAACTTGTCCTTGTTATCTGCTGGGCAACTACTTCATGAGCTGAGAATATTTGGACAGGTGCACTCAAAACCCAAGCGCTGATGGAACTGCAGCCGCAGGTGCAAATGTTATATTTCTGGTCTTAGTGAAGTATTCATTGCAAAATGTTTTAGTACTGATCAGTCGGGCCGTAGTGATGTTCTCTTTGCTAGATATAAACAGGAGTGACAGTGGATATAGTGTCTTGAAGAGTCGATGATGCTCAATAGAAGGGGATCAAAGTGCAGGCTTTGAGATTTCAGCTACAAAAGATCAACTTGCTGCTGGTGCCTGACCAATTTTTTCACGATCCCGTCTTTGTAGCTTAGGAATGAACTGCAAATAATTGGTAAGGAATAAACAAATTAAAAACATGAAGCATGTCGGCAGAAGGAAGTGAGCATATGCCAATTTTATATGAACATAAGGAGGTCTTTGTCTGTCTTTCAAGAAGAAAATTGCTAAGTTTTAGTTGAGTCTTTATTTGAACAAGTTCGTAACTGCATCATTCCCCGAGACATTGAGAAAATAAAGCTTCACAAGCAACGTTCACTTGCAGCGATTACATTATTGAAATCAAAGATGGGGAAGGACTAGGAGAAATATGGAGGAGGACTGGGAGAAAACCAAAAAGAAGCAAGAAGTCATTGCTAAGCTGGTTTGAGGCTTCATCCTTGCCTCTGGTTTGAGGCTCAATCATTGAAGAGACAGTTTGTGGAAAATTCTTTCACGTTTCATTTTAGTTGCTACAAGGTTGATAAAAACATGTACATAACATGAGTAATTTCATTATAAACAGTTCCTCTGGAATATTTCTTGGCTGGTAGCTGAGCCTACACCATCCATCATATATCAAAAGAGAAATCTCTTGGATCCTTTAACCTCCTGCATGAAAGATATCAATTACTTTCAGACACTACTAGTTTTGCAAACAGATGAATGTCACGACAGCATTCTCCTTATCCTTTTCAACTTCGAGAACGTTGACATTATTACTCAGCGGTCATGAGTATTAGTAAATGTAAAGCTTTCTGGCACATTACAAGCACTCGCTTTATTGAAGTTTTGATGTGCACTCACATTCTCTGTGTTCTGTGCATCAGAAGAGAACTGCGAGGGCCGACTGACAGACATCTTAGCACTGTGTCCTTTGCGGCTGTTGTTAACTGGAACATTAAGTCTGCTTTGGGGCCGGTCCATTCTTAGTTGCAAAATTTGGGCTATGGAATCCTTTCCCTCGCCCGCATTAATATCTTCCAAATTCACTGAACTGAATCAGCAGTATAAATTTAGCAGTCCAGCGGCTCAAAAAGAAAAAGAAAAAGAAAAAGAAAGAATTACTATGCTGAAAGTTTGTGATGATATCTTCTGTCATTTGTCATCGGCTAAAGACACTAACTAAGCAGAAATATGTAAATTAGACTGATCAGAAATATCTCAACCTGAGCAACTGGACCACGATCCTAAAAGTACCAATTGATTGGTAGTTCTTCATAGCCTGCTTTGTGTCATGTCAGTGCTTTATGTGTACTGCTCTGCTCGCTCTTGTTAAATATCATGTCATAAATTTCTATTATTGGACTTGTAACAGATTAACTTTGCTTTCCTAACCCTAAAAGTTACCTAATAGTTGGGCAAAAGGCTATTGAGCTGATGAGCTCTCAATTAAATGAGTGAAAATCAAGATAGAGATGAGTTTTTCGCCACTGAGGGAATGCAAAGGTGGGACTCCACGACCCACCTCAACTGGAAGAAAAGACACAACTATATGTGTATCTATATCTATCTATGCAGTCATCTCCCTCATCTTCAACTTCACCTGTCTCTCCATTAATAACGTTTGGCATTTGGATAAGGCTCAAACACAAAGTTGGGGTTCACATTTAGGATATCCATTGATGGCAACTAGTACAACGTTTTCAATTGGAAAATGATATTAGCACTCCAAAAAAATTCTCTAACACTTTATCACCTTTTATGCTTTTAAAAGAGAGGATGAAGTGTTAGAGATTTTTTTTTTTTTTTTATGAGCTGGTGTTATTTTACTGTAAAGCCGGACTCTTGAGACCAATCGTGGCTAAAATGAGCATTCACGAAAGAACCCGAAAGAGAAAAAAAAAATCTATGAGTAGTATCCTTGAGAATTTTTTTTTTTAAACATTATGATTTATGTATTGCAAGCAATGCGAATAGTATATATAAGTGAATACTTGTTTGACAAAATTATGCTAATTTTCTTCTTTTGATCTGTTAGAGTCTGGTAGCATAGCTAGTATGATTTAGACACCTGAAAGTTAGAGGGGTCCTAATAAGGACTCCATCCTACTATCTGACCTGATTTCCCCTAAAACAAAACTAATATTCCAATCAGATTGTGTGTTTCCACAAATCGTTGGAATTGTGCTCCGAAACCCTATGACCTTCTCTGTAGATCCACTCTAGCCCTTGGAATTAATTACACTGGTACATTCAATTTTTTTTTTAAAATTTTTTTTTTTTTTGGGGTAGAAAGAAGAAAAGAGAAGATGAGCCCACATGCACTCATGCAACAGCAAGTACAATAATTGATCTTACCAATAACATTAGAAACATACGTTAAATTTGTTCATGAAATTATTAGAACAACCTAAAATTTGTACTTGTGTTGGTTGATGCAGGGTGGCTTCGTATTGTTTTTGTCTTACGCTGCTAGGCTAATTGTTTGGAACGCAATCACCAGCAGTTGCATTGGTTCGCAGTACATATTTAGTGTGATCCTATGCTACGGATGCAATGAGTTTTCATTCTCAAGTGATTTGGTAGGTGAACTTGAGGATAATTGTATGATCTTCTGATTCCTGCTTTCTGCTCCTACTTCCTAGGTGCGTGTATGATCCAATCTGATGAGTTGCTTAATTATTTACCTAGCGATACAGTGAAATTACAGCAGCACTATACTATAGTATTATATATATATCAGCCTCAAATAACAATTCAGCCAAATACTACATGGTAGGTAATGGTAAATGGTAAGTTGAACTAAGGTGTGAAAGATTTTAACTGGCAGTCTAATGCACGCACTTTCTGTTCAGGTTCGACCCTCACTAATACGTTTCAAGATTTCAGATGCAAGACATGCACAAGCTTTAATCTCTTCTATATTGGTTGTCTTGACTACTGAGTTAACTGATGATGAGGTGCATGCTGAGCATAAGTAAGAACATTGGAGCACAGCATCCAGTTTTGCTCCCTCCTCCCTTCAGTCTCTCTCAACCATATGTCATGTGAGAAAATGTTGACCATCTGGGAGATAAAAGAGGATATTTAGGTAGCGTCGGATTATCTTCTTCATAGGAAGATAGATCACGCCGAGGAGTATCCATCTTCCATCGAGATGTATTTGTCTATGGCATGACAATCCCTAAGTTTGGCGCAGTGTGATAGGGAAGCTATGAAAGAAAGCCATGAGCAAGTGGGGAGGGGAGGTGTTACTGTCTTTTTACCCTAAAATCGTCGTACTTCATGGCATACTTGTTTTGACTTTTGACAATAAAATTGTGGGGCAGTCATCCAAGCTAGCGCCCCCGCGTGAATGGGTCAGCGGTAGCACTTTCCACCAGGCGACCGTCAGGTCTCAAGTTCGAGTCTCTGCTCTGCTGGATTTCTCTGCACACTTAACGCGCTCGGATCAGGTTGGGGCGCCGGACCCGAGTCGCAGGGGATTAGTCGGGCCCGTAAGAATTGACCCCGACACCCCGTGTCGACCAAGCTAGCTAGGTTATCATGTGTTGCCATGTACAAGAGGCAAAGGTGTCTTTTAAATTGGGATCCTATCTTGGATAGATCAAAAGTCTTTTGGAAGTTTTAGAACATAAAATTATACTAGTAGGATGGTAACAGCAATTAAATTGGAATTTTAACAACTATGATGAGACGGTGAGAATTCCATGTTAACATAAAATGATTAATCCACTTATCATTCCCAACAAAACCAAAAAAAAACACTAACTAAGCAGAAATATGTAAATTAGACTGATCAGAAATATCTCAACCTGAGCAACTGGACCACGATCCTAAAAGTACCAATTGATTGGTAGTTCTTCATAGCCTGCTTTGTGTCATGTCAGTGCTTTATGTGTACTGCTCTGCTCGCTCTTGTTAAATATCATGTCATAAATTTCTATTATTGGACTTGTAACAGATTAACTTTGCTTTCCTAACCCTAAAAGTTACCTAATAGTTGGGCAAAAGGCTATTGAGCTGATGAGCTCTCAATTAAATGAGTGAAAATCAAGATAGAGATGAGTTTTTCGCCACTGAGGGAATGCAAAGGTGGGACTCCACGACCCACCTCAACTGGAAGAAAAGACACAACTATATGTGTATCTATATCTATCTATGCAGTCATCTCCCTCATCTTCAACTTCACCTGTCTCTCCATTAATAACGTTTGGCATTTGGATAAGGCTCAAACACAAAGTTGGGGTTCACATTTAGGATATCCATTGATGGCAACTAGTACAACGTTTTCAATTGGAAAATGATATTAGCACTCCAAAAAAATTCTCTAACACTTTATCACCTTTTATGCTTTTAAAAGAGAGGATGAAGTGTTAGAGATTTTTTTTTTTTTTTTATGAGCTGGTGTTATTTTACTGTAAAGCCGGACTCTTGAGACCAATCGTGGCTAAAATGAGCATTCACGAAAGAACCCGAAAGAGAAAAAAAAAATCTATGAGTAGTATCCTTGAGAATTTTTTTTTTTAAACATTATGATTTATGTATTGCAAGCAATGCGAATAGTATATATAAGTGAATACTTGTTTGACAAAATTATGCTAATTTTCTTCTTTTGATCTGTTAGAGTCTGGTAGCATAGCTAGTATGATTTAGACACCTGAAAGTTAGAGGGGTCCTAATAAGGACTCCATCCTACTATCTGACCTGATTTCCCCTAAAACAAAACTAATATTCCAATCAGATTGTGTGTTTCCACAAATCGTTGGAATTGTGCTCCGAAACCCTATGACCTTCTCTGTAGATCCACTCTAGCCCTTGGAATTAATTACACTGGTACATTCAATTTTTTTTTTAAAATTTTTTTTTTTTTTGGGGTAGAAAGAAGAAAAGAGAAGATGAGCCCACATGCACTCATGCAACAGCAAGTACAATAATTGATCTTACCAATAACATTAGAAACATACGTTAAATTTGTTCATGAAATTATTAGAACAACCTAAAATTTGTACTTGTGTTGGTTGATGCAGGGTGGCTTCGTATTGTTTTTGTCTTACGCTGCTAGGCTAATTGTTTGGAACGCAATCACCAGCAGTTGCATTGGTTCGCAGTACATATTTAGTGTGATCCTATGCTACGGATGCAATGAGTTTTCATTCTCAAGTGATTTGGTAGGTGAACTTGAGGATAATTGTATGATCTTCTGATTCCTGCTTTCTGCTCCTACTTCCTAGGTGCGTGTATGATCCAATCTGATGAGTTGCTTAATTATTTACCTAGCGATACAGTGAAATTACAGCAGCACTATACTATAGTATTATATATATATCAGCCTCAAATAACAATTCAGCCAAATACTACATGGTAGGTAATGGTAAATGGTAAGTTGAACTAAGGTGTGAAAGATTTTAACTGGCAGTCTAATGCACGCACTTTCTGTTCAGGTTCGACCCTCACTAATACGTTTCAAGATTTCAGATGCAAGACATGCACAAGCTTTAATCTCTTCTATATTGGTTGTCTTGACTACTGAGTTAACTGATGATGAGGTGCATGCTGAGCATAAGTAAGAACATTGGAGCACAGCATCCAGTTTTGCTCCCTCCTCCCTTCAGTCTCTCTCAACCATATGTCATGTGAGAAAATGTTGACCATCTGGGAGATAAAAGAGGATATTTAGGTAGCGTCGGATTATCTTCTTCATAGGAAGATAGATCACGCCGAGGAGTATCCATCTTCCATCGAGATGTATTTGTCTATGGCATGACAATCCCTAAGTTTGGCGCAGTGTGATAGGGAAGCTATGAAAGAAAGCCATGAGCAAGTGGGGAGGGGAGGTGTTACTGTCTTTTTACCCTAAAATCGTCGTACTTCATGGCATACTTGTTTTGACTTTTGACAATAAAATTGTGGGGCAGTCATCCAAGCTAGCGCCCCCGCGTGAATGGGTCAGCGGTAGCACTTTCCACCAGGCGACCGTCAGGTCTCAAGTTCGAGTCTCTGCTCTGCTGGATTTCTCTGCACACTTAACGCGCTCGGATCAGGTTGGGGCGCCGGACCCGAGTCGCAGGGGATTAGTCGGGCCCGTAAGAATTGACCCCGACACCCCGTGTCGACCAAGCTAGCTAGGTTATCATGTGTTGCCATGTACAAGAGGCAAAGGTGTCTTTTAAATTGGGATCCTATCTTGGATAGATCAAAAGTCTTTTGGAAGTTTTAGAACATAAAATTATACTAGTAGGATGGTAACAGCAATTAAATTGGAATTTTAACAACTATGATGAGACGGTGAGAATTCCATGTTAACATAAAATGATTAATCCACTTATCATTCCCAACAAAACCAAAAAAAAAAAAAAAAAAGGAAAGACGACTCTGCTTGTGGTTAATATGGCACGAGGGTGACTCCATTCCATTATCAGAGAGAGCATTTTCTGAGGATGTCTGTGCACGCCC